TAACTAACTCATCTCTCTTATTCGTAAAGTTAGTTACCCTGCTTGGGCGATTAGTTACCAGACCATGCCTAAGCGGGCCAAACAGATAACAACAACAGCCAGCAACAAGCTTCCGATGCTGCCAGGCTCTTTTGGCTGTTTTACTGGTCGATCCACTTCCCCTGCCAACCTGCTGCCAGTATCGGTCCACTGGATGGATTGGATAGTTGTGTGTTAAACTGCCCCCATGGAGAAATAACTAGACAGTTAGTTAACCTGTTAACTAGTTACCTACTGATATTCTGCTGTTACTGTACTTTACATTCATGGATGCTTGAAGAGTGATCAGCCCCACTGAAACAGCTTGAGTGTGAGAGAGAGTCTGACGAAGTTTCCAAGCTGCTGAAAAGAAAAGCCCTGATATTGCGCCTTTTCGCGCCCATTATTTTCGCCTGGGCCAGGTCACAATCCACTACTCAATATCTAGTCTGTAACGGAGCTGTTGTCTGCTATTTTATCCCATCACCTTCAGAGAAACAGCGCGGTTCTGCATCCGAAATATCCGCCCCGCCACTACGGGGTAACATTACTCAGCTTCAGCCGCCTTGCTTTTCTCTGACAGATCCGTTGATAAAACAACGCCACAGGTGGCCCCAAACGACAATAGGTCATGTTGTCATCGTCGATTGGGGGCCCCCTTTGAACAGAGTACAGGATTTCAGATGGAACTGGATGATTCCCCGAACCATTTACCGGCATCCAAACACTTTTTCAACCATTGCATCGGGAACAAGTTCCATACAACCGATTTGCCACACAGCTGTTCTCTAGCTTCGAAGTTTTGAAAAATTCCACGAGAATCATTGGATGACATATTTCTCCATAGTTACATTTGACCAGCAACAACATCAAATACGCATTTGAGCTGTTATTATTTAAAAATAAAATAAAATAAAATTTAACAAAATAAATAAAATTAAAAATTAAAACATGGCTAACGTGATTCTCCAGGAACCGGGATTTCAGGCACATTCTTGGCTTGCCTGGGGAGGGTTTTTTACAAATTTTCATGAACCCAGCATGGCTTAATAGCAGGGATAGTAACTAATTGGGCCAAGATGCCTTGATATCGTTTCCACGAAGAATTGGAAATCCGTGCCACTGGTTCTATTATCGAATGATAGAACCTCAGGCCTTCTTTTCTATAGATTATGGCCGATGGGTGAGTGGAAAGCAAGGGATCGAGTTGAACTAAATCAACAGCCAGGGGTAACTAAAGCCGGTGGCAAACCAGATGGATATCAAGAAGCTTGGGCGGGGTGCATTCTATTGACCACAAGGTCCTGAAGCTGGGCGGGGGGTGACAATAGTTAAAGTTATAGGCGTCTGCCACTTACAAATGTCACTGAACAAACAGCTAGTTATGCGTTTAGACTATTCATAGATACTCTTGACTATACTTATCTCTCCTCTTCTCCATTAGGCAGGCAAACCCTTAGCAGCCTGCGCTTAAGATGGGGCTCTTTTAATATGTTGCTGCTAAGCAAGGCAGACTCGATCTAGGCTGGCCGCAAAACTCAATTCTTTATTACACAAAACATTTCAGCCGGCGTGCCGCCTGTCGGCTCATAGTTAACTAACACCACCCTGTTAACTAACTGGACGCCTGAGTAATAGCTTGTGTCGTGTTTGGTGTTGGGTCCAGTATGTATAATGCAATATAGTGTCCAATGGCTGGTGTTTCGCCCGTGTCATCGCTCTGCGTTCCAAACTATCGAGACTACGGCACCCACAGTACAGTATATATATATACCCCCAGCTGATGTCCCCGTTGGCTCATAAGAAATCCGTATTCTCTTTCAACCCATCAAAGCACATAATCCAACGCCATTGTAACCCCCCTACCTCGACAAAATCGCAATCTATCCACAAACAATTATGGCTGCCGAGCCTAAGTCTCTCCCTCTGAAACTTCCAGGCTTCGGATTCAAATTAACCGACGCACAGTCACTGAGGGCAACCCGTGCCAAAGACTATGTTACCAATACGCTGATAGAGAGACCGAAATATTCATTTGAGTCCCAAGCTGGCGGCTTGTTTCCCTCCCTCTTGGACGACACTGACCCCGACGATAGTTTTAAGTATTATTTATACTCTTAAAATAGTAGTCATTAATTAATTGCGCTCTTAAGTTACACAAAGGCTGATGTTTTCTCACATGTAAAAAGGCAACGTTTAACCCCCGTGCGAGAGTTCACCATGCTTCGGATTATGGATAGCATAACTGACAAACCGGGCTGGGACACAAAAGTGCCTATACCCTTTTCCTACAGCACTCCGCACAAGTTTTGATTACCCCATTTCTTGCATACTCTCTGAGTGGCAGAAATAATAAAACACTCCATATGTTTATTGAATCCAATTCGTCATTGACGATTTTGCCATCACTTATTTAACTCTTGCATTTAGATATTTTGGGAAAACATCACGGAGAAATGGAAGGAGGAGGCGATTGCGCATCAAAACATGGACGTGACCGGGCCCATGATGGATTGGGTAATCAAGGAACTGCAATTCAAAACAGAAGGATTCAAGAAAAGCGGAAATGTGCTGGTTTACGACGCGGGCGTTGTGAAATCGGACACCGCAATTTCAGAGTCCCTCAAAGACGCACTCAAAGCTGCTGCTTCCAGCCTTGAAAATATTCCAGATAACGAGAAGGATTACCATCCCGGTTCAGATAACCTTGTCCTGGATCTGGTGCATCCCTCCTTGTTTCCAGTTGTCTATGGCCGGACAAGGATTGTCAAAGGTGCCGTTTTAAGTGTCTTTGAAGGAATCTCCGCGGCCGGACGTGGTGAAGTGCTTCCAATCCCACCGACTGGTGCGGATAGTGCAACGACATCCCTTCCTAGAAATGGTCCCATGCACAATCCATATAGCAACAAGTTCCAGTGGCTTCCTTGCGACGTGGAATTCACGGCAGATTCAGCATCAACTGAAAACAAAGCCCTAAATAACAAATATCAAAATCACAAGTGCAAGTGCAAGATCACCAGTTACATAAATAATCTACACCCAAATGACCATTGGGACTTATACGAGGTGATCGAAAAAGTTATCGAACAAGCAGTTCCACTATGGAACAAAACCCTAACCCCCTCGAGAATTCGGCTCCCCTACATACGAATACCATATGATTGCGGTGAAGAGAAACTTGACGAGGAAGCCATGAAAACTGATCCAAAGCCCGAGCAAGAATCTGACGAAGATGAGGATGATTATGAGGAACGTGTATCTGAGTGGGAAGTTCGGATTCAGAAAACTGTCCTCCCAGAACCTGCTGACATATTCTCCCCATCATACGAAGAAATACTCGTTGACTTGCAACGCGAATTTGGAAGTACGGGGCTTCAGGTTATCGTGAAGCTTGCAAACATCCATCTCACTCCAGAAAAACCTAGGTATAATGGGGGTGCATGGCACGTAGAGGGTCAATTGGTATGCATCATCACCTCAGAACTATCATACGAAGCGCCTCCGTTGTAAGTTCGCTTTTCGTTTTGATCAATAGAGACGCTAACGAACTCCGATTTCCAGAATGAACACATATGTGCTACGGCGTTATATTACTACGACAGCGAGAACATCTCCGAAAGCCGTCTTGGCTTCCGCCAATTTTCCGATCCGGAAGAAGCCAACGAGATATCATACGAACAAGATCATCACCAATGGCTAACAGATGTGTTCGGGTGCACAAACAACGGCCCAGCACTGCAGAACATTGGGGACGTAGTATGCAAAGAAGGCCGGCTGATAACCTTCCCAAACGTTCTCCAGCACCGCGTTTCACCCTTCAAGCTTGAAGACCCTTCCAAACCCGGCCACAGGAAAATCCTCGCGCTGTTCTTGGTCGACCCCCACATCCACATCATCTCCTCGGCTCATGTCCCGTGCCAGAGGCGCGATTGGTGGGGTGAACAAGTTCCCTGGCAGCATATCACGGGCAAACTGCCACAGGAGTTAGCTAATGAGGTTGTGTCTCATATCGGTGATTTTCCAATATCGATGAAGGATGCTAAGGAGCTGCAGTTAGAGCTTATGGAGGAGAGGAAGGCGATTGTTGTGGAGCAGACTAGGGCGATGGATATTGAGTTTTCGTTGTGCGAGCATTAGGGATGTATCGGTTTTAGGAAAGGGAGTCTGAAATCGGCCAGGTCATGAAGGGGAAGGGAGCGAGGGTTAGCCAGGGTTAGCAGGGAAGCTTGTCAGAGCAAATCTGAAACTGGAATTTTTCCTTCCATTTTACGAATTCTGAATGTGATTTCTTGATTTCTTTCTTAATAAGAATATACCAAGAGCCATTACAGGTTACAGTTTGAAATGGCGGAAATGTACATGTACTTAACGACTGTATGGTTGGAATGAGAGTCACGTGATGTGGGTCAGACATGAAGGGGGTATTCTCATCAAAGATGCACCTCCAACTAAAGGCAGGATTTGTATCAGTAGATTGCAGATTATCAAGACCGAAATCCTAATCCATCATAAGCACTTTGCAGCTGCTCTGAGTATTGGCTCAGTTTTGACTGTCATGACTATATCTCTTCTCTACTCCGTACTCCGACAAGCTGTCAGGTCCAGAGTAACCAGAAGGGCATGAAGAACACCTTGCAGAGTATTCACTATATATCTGCTTCATATTCTGCTTCAGTGAAGATAGAATCGACCCTCTGAAGACACACACCTGATGGTATAAACATAAGAGAGCCAACCCGTAGAACCTTGTAAGAGGTTTGAATGTTGTCTCCTGCTGTTAGCTATATGAATTTAGCAATACGTATGTCACATGACCTCGCATTAGGAAAAACTTAATCTCCGAGCCAGCAACACTTTGTGATGGGCCGTGTGAAGCTGAGCACCACCACTTTGCGCCAATTGACAAGCTACTTGATCTAGGTTCATACTTAACCGCAGGACCTATATGAGTTGTTGACCATCTTTGCCGTCTCAACGCCGCGATGGCTCGAAAGCAGAGGGCAGCTGCACAGGCAGCTGCACAATCCCTGAGTTAGTTTCTCCATCCCAAAATTTAAAAGAAAACCATCTGGGTTGAGAAAAAATTGAAAGTCCATCTAATCTCACAATTCAAAATCTTGTCTATCAGGAGCTGCTCCGCAACCACTCGAAGAAGAAATGGTTGACGCTGCATCCAACGCAACTAGTCCGCGCGACGACGATGGGAATGCGCCCGACAAGAGAGACGATACCCCGGCTGCGGAAGAGTATGAGGCGGGATCGCAAACAGAACGACAGGCTGAAGAATCTGAACGTCCGTCATCCGTTGCGCCAGATACCCCCATAAAAACTGGTCGAGTATCTGCTATTCCAAGAAAACGCGGAGGTCGAGTTGGTCGCCCACCCAAAATAAGACCCCCTGTCACAGATGACGGAAATGGGGAGACACGTTCAGAAGTTACAACACCCGTCAAGCGAAGAGGTCGAGGTCGCCCGTCAGCTGGTGGACGCTGGGGAAGAGCTAAAGGCGGCCCTTCTCATGTCACGCAAGTCCCCATAGATAAAGAGGGAAATATGATGGACGTTGTCAATGATGAGGTTGACCTTCCAGAAGACCCAGAGGGTGAGACAAAAGTTGACAAGCTGGGGAATCTTCTTGGTGGTCGAGAATACCGGGTGCGGACATTCACGATTTTAAACAAAGGTGAAAGACTCTACATGCTTTCAACAGAGCCGGCGCGTTGCATAGGATTTCGCGACTCGTACTTGTTTTTCCAAAAGCACAAACTTCTTTTCAAGATCATCATTGATGACGACGCGAAACGTGACCTCATTGAGAGAGAGCTTATACCCCACTCCTACAAGGGACGTGCCATCGGTGTCGTAACAGCTCGATCAGTATTTCGCGAGTTTGGTGCGAAGATAATTATTGGTGGACGAAAAGTTATCGACGACTACTCTGCGCAAGCTGCTAGGGAACGAGGCGACGTGGAAGGTGAACTTGCTGTGCCCGAAGACAAACTCCCAGGCCCAGGGGAAACATACGACAAGAATCGATACGTTGCTTGGCACGGAGCCAGTAGTGTATATCATTCTGGAGTCCCCTCTGTGCCCATGCCAATGGGAAAAATCACGGATCCAAAGAAACGAAAGGTTGTGATAACTAATGATAACTGGATGATTGAGCATTCCAGAGAAGCAAGGTACATTAACACCACTCATTTAGATACTAATTTGTTTTTACAGAGCTTTTTGCTAACTATTTAGCTACAGTCGGTTCAACTCCTCTATCCTAGCGACTCGCCGTGAGAATCTCAACGGACAATATGATATCCATACAAACACCATGCTCTATCCCAGGATTATGCAACCCACTCATTTCCGATGGGAAGTTGTTCCCCCCCCAGAAACCAGCCAAGCAAACAGATCCGAGCTCTTCCGCAGCGCTTCGACAGCTGCCCTCGGTCTCTCCAAAGACACGCCCGCAACCCCTGCCGGGAATGCAAGCAAGCCGCCCAATGGCCACTCTGTCAAAGCTGAAAAGGACAAACCCGCCCGGAAAAACGCATCAACAATCTTCCCCCCTGTCCCCGCCGTTTTCAGCCGCAAGTTTGAAATTCACGATATCCTCTATGAATCACCACCAGACTCGACACTGAGTCGTCCTGGGCCAGATGGCGATTCACAAGACATAGGCCAGAATGGACTAATTACTCTTTCGACAGGCCGCTATAACCCTATGTTCCAGATGAGTCCGGAGATCCTGGCGCAACTACCGCCTGACTGCAAGGTTGCGTACCGCGAAGCAGCAGTCCGGGAGTGGGAGTGGAAGCGCCGTTGGGGAACCGAGACGGAGGATGCATCCAGAGCGCCCATGGGATATAATTATGCGTGGACTCCGTGATTTTGACTGAGATACAAATTTAAGGGGATAGATTGAAGCTGGGTTTATGTATTAGTTGTCACTAGTCTTATTGGGGTATGGTTTTTTTTTTTTTTTTTTTTTTTTTTTTTTTTTTTTCACACATGTTGATATCTGGACGTTCTGAAAGGGACATACAAAATCTCATTTATGTTCAATGTTGTTTCTCTGGTTTTCTTCCATGTCGAGCATGTGGAGTCTGGCTGGGTGGGTGAAAGGGTTTTTTCCTTTCCTTTTCTTTTCTTTTTCTTTTTTTGTGGGGTGTAAGGATCTACTTGTCTTTCTTTTCCCCTGTTCATGGTTAATGGCGTCTCTCTGGAGCGGCCATTGGTTTTGGTGAAGCAAATCGAAAGTGACGACTTGATTCTGTAGTTTCTTAAATACCATTTCCTTTTATGTTTATCTCATCTTTCCACTTCTGTTGGTGGGCAGAGAGAGAATGCGCAAAATCCACGGGATGTTTGTACTGTATGTACTCTTGAACCCATAATTCATATTCATGATACCTCTGCAATTTGACTATCGAACGGTGTCTACTCTCTTGATGTTTTAAGTCTCTATATACCTACCCTGGTAGGTAGCCTGTATATATAATAAGAGGCGGGAAAAACGGGCCAAATTGCCAAAGATGTAAACATTTAAGCGAATTCAGATAGTTCAACCCATGGACGGCCCACAACCGCAATATTCTATAAGTAACCACATGGTGCTCTGTGCCCGGTAACTAATTTTGGTCATTCCGGCGGCGCCTTTCTCAGCCTCAAAACATTTAACCTCCTGCAAGTTCCCCGCTGCGCATAAAATAGAACTCTGTGCTTTCACCTGCGTGATTATTCTGCCTGCCAACATCCCTCACTCACAGCTTCCTGGATCAGCTAACTTAATCCATTCGACAGTCTGGATATATGAGCAAGACCATCACAGAGTTGAGTGACTTTATGAATTGCTTTTCTCATTAGAAAATCCTTTATCAGAAGCCCCACAAAGCGTAAAGCAGGTTCCTGTGGTATGCATGGTATCTGCATGCATGTGCATGTGTGTAATAACATACATACATTTGACAATTCCTACATCAGCAGCAGCAGGATATTCGGGCATACTTTGAACGCTCAACCTCTATATAGCGAATTCCTCTATATAACGAATTGAATTGGCTTCCAAGATGAAATCGTTACAGCGAGGGTTTACTGTACAACCCCTCAATAGGCATGCAAGCAGTGGAATAACCACTTGGCAGTTAAGTTGATGGGAACATAAACCAAGAGTCTCAAATGCAATTATCATCATGTTATTTTCTGATAATAATAGCAACCTGACTAAATATTCTTCTACCTGTGAAGATGGTTAATTAAATCAAGAAAACTTCAGCTTCTCTTTAGTCTCTGTTCGATTCGTCCAAAAATCCCTCATCCGGCACAAACTGGCGGGGAAACCTACGTAGTGAGGGCGTTGAACGTGCAGTGCAGAAAGGCGAGGCCCCGCCTAACCTACCTAAAGTAGGCTAGTAGTTAGATCAGTTTCATAGCGCCCGTACGGAATGCGAACGTTCAACTTAAGGAGTCAATCAATCCATCAATCAATCAATCAATCCTCCCAATTCTTCTCAGGCAAGAGTCAAGACAAACAATAGGGTCAACGGGCTCTCTCTCGTGGATGCCATGGGGAAACCTACATCAAACTTCATAACTCTCCATTGTTCGTGGCCCTGTCTCAAACAGGCATGAACCTCCCGATTTTGGCTAATGATATCTACGGATTATTTTAGATGCCTATATCATTAGCTTAGGCATTTCCTCTCTGCTCGTTTTTTATCCCTTTGGGAATATGAAAGCGATTGATGCATATTTCTTCGGGGCGTCAATTGCCGCAGAATCTGGTCTGAATACTTGAGACAGCGCAACCTCTATTTCCCCAACGGCTGGAGCCCTAGCCAGTGTACTAATTATGTGCGTCTGAAACTGTTCATACAAGCGAATATTCAGCCTTGACATCAAGGATTTAAAGACCTATCAAACCGCTGTTCACCTATATAATCCCACTTATATCTCACCTGGGATTCATAAATGTTGCCGTGGTTCTTGTGCGTTTACGCTGGTTTCGCAGAAGACTCTATAAAATCAGTACTGTGGTTTATCATGTTGGTATCCCAAAACACATTGGGAATACTGAATTGGGAATAGCACACTCTGAGGCTCAACGCCGTCTGGACGTGGAAACCCGTGCATACAAGTTCCCTGAGGATGGGGGAAAGGGGACTGTGTTAGTAGAAGAAGCCGGCCCAGTCATCGATTCCTTTTGGTGGCGGCGAGAGCAATGTACTACTCCAAATGTGTAGGGGCATTGCCAATGCAGTTATCTCTGTTCTTGTTTAACTCGTTAACCCAGGGAATCGACTGGTAGCAATACAAATGCAAATGATATAAATGAAGTTTTTAACCAGAATGTCAACCCACATCACAGAAGCATATCTGTTGGGCGCCTGATGTGCGAGGCTACGATAAATAGAAGGCCTTACATGTCCCACCACTGTAGTATGTCGTTATTGGTGTCTTTTGCGTCTGTGCGTCTGAGTCGAAGAAGATAATGGAACCTAGGGAGACGGTAAACAATTGTCTTTTTGATCCTTTCCAACCCCCTATTGTTTCCCTCTCTCCCCATATACCGATTTTTTGAAAACAGTGCCCTGCTAATTTGAAACAGTCATTCGCCATTTCCTGATATTATTCGAAATGGTATCCAGCTAGTATGTGTAGATTTCCCTTTCCCCCTTCCTCTCCTCTATCCTTTTTGAATCCTCAAGTTCCAGCACATTTACCGTTTCCCAAATCTAACATGAAGCTCACTGTAAAGTGGCAACGTTGGCCTCAGCCTACCTCGTTATGCGGAAAGTTCAACATGTTCAGCAAAACTAGTTATCTGAGCCAGATGATACGAGGCCGCTATCAAAGTTTACTATCTGAACTTCATCGTGCCATCATGCTATGGCGATCGCATTGAGCCAGCTGAAACCACATCTACGGTAAAGATTAAGCGCCATCATACCTTTTGATGAAAATGTCGGATAGGATGCGGGATAGAGTGACTTTTATCTGGTTGGAAGATGAAAAGGATATACCAACAAAAAAATTGACAAGAATACGAGCGTTGGTTTTGGTGGTACCATGGAATGATGTATAGATTGGAATGGTCATTGGTAAGATGGGAAGAGAGAGTTGTCTCTTTGTCACTCATTACACATAAGTCACATGCATATATTTGCTTACGCTTCATCACTAACTACTGCGCCTTTCTGTCTGTCAGCCATGTTTTGCAGCCCCAATTTTTCAATGGAATTTTGATATATGAGAAAAGTTCCAAGATTAATAGATATAGTTTCATTTCCACACCTAGGTTTATCAGCACCAGCGGGTTCTCGAGATGGGTTCAATATATTATTAGCAGGAGTTGACGAAGGTCAAGTGGCATTGTCGCAGACTCTTTGTATGTATGACTGTGCAACGGCATCATTCAAAGCGAAGAAGTTCACATCAGATCTGAGCATGAACAATGCTGCCCACATGTAGGCAGACATTAGAAATGTAAAATATCTGCAGAACTGAACTTGACCATGATGTGCATCATATGATCATCGAAGAACTTGTCTCCGCTGTAGGCAGCCGAGATATACATCCCAGAAGGCTATGCGTCATTTCTTTTGTCATCCCTCCATCCAACGTTTCTTGCTTGATTGATGGAATGTAGATATGCGAGAAAATGTATGTATGTATTTTATGTACGCTTAATTACCTGCCTCCGAAATGCACAGCTTGCTTCTCTTTTGAACAGTGCCTACGCAGCTGCCTACAGCTTGAAACAAGTACATCATTTTCATGTCTCCAGAAGGAGCCGCATATTTTGACATGTGGATAGAGTGCCGCTGATCCAACCCGGTATCATGCGGACCCTTGATCCGCCTACAGGGAGAAGAAGGCTGAAGGCTATGGAGGCTGGAAATGTTGGCAAAGCTGAGGGCTGACGCATCGCTTTACGAACTCTGTGCTCCCGTATCCTGCAACGAAAATGTAAAAAGACCAAACCAGAGAATTCGATACAACAGCAATTTTTTCTGGAAATATCAGAGACGATCTGAATATTAAGTAACTTTCCCCTTGGCTTGAAGAAAAAAGAGAAAATGACGTTGGATGAATTCTCCTGTTGTACTTCTAGGGCGCAATAGTCAACAATTTTGTTGATAAGAAGCTGTTCTGTGGCATCTTATTGGGCGGACAATGCCAGATTTCTTGCAGCCAGCCGGTTGCCACAAGCAACCAGTGTCCACTTATGGAGGGCGTACCAATCTCGGTACTTCTTCTGTCTACGGCGGTTGAAGGGGGACCATTGATTTCATTGCATTATGATTCGCCTGTTAATATTTGCTCATGTTTTTACATGTTCAACTTTTTATTCCTCAAGGATCCCGGGATCCTGGGAAGCAAGTCATGCTCGATGTCAGGTCTAACTTAAAAACTACAGTCTTGTCTGGTTTTTGTGGCCAATATTCTTGAGATGTATCATGAAGTAACTATGAAGAGCCGAGTGAGCCTTGGAACTTCTGATCTATTTTTACATTCCAAGGTTACCGCTTGTATGGGTTTGTGGGTATGGGTTAAATCGGCATCTGACGTTTAAAAAAGAAAAGAAGAGGAAAAAGAGAACTGTTCCAAGGTTGACGCCAAAATGTTATTACTAATTGTTGTTGCTGTTGGCGTAAAAAAATCTCAGCTTGTTCCCTACTTGTATCGAGTCTGGGTCTCCAATTTAGACGTTTGGATAGAGATTTGAGGCCCAAGAGATACAATTGGATGGCTTCCCCCTTCAATGGTATGACCCGGAAGCCGGAACCTTTCGTCCAACGGGTGCTGTTGAGCTGTTCTCATGGTGAGTATGCTTGAAAGGGGGAAATTCTATATTGCCTCAGGTTCTCAGATGCAAGTTGTGGATTTCCCGTCGTCTTGGCTACACAGAGATACATTGTAGTCATCATTTTGTTCCTTTCAACGCCTCTGGAACGAAATAAGGAAAACTCTCCTCCCAAGCAACGAGTCCACAATATGCCAACTTTATGTCTGTTTTTAGAGAGACGTATGTCATGTTCAGGATCCTTGAATAGTTTGTCTTCTCTAACATTGGTTGGAGATACTGACGGCATGCATCTTTATATTGGCAACTAGTTCAGTTGAACTTCAAAAGAAGAGGAAGAGAACCCTGAGGATTGAAAACCTCATTAACAGAGGGTTGTTCATGGTAATAATACCAGTGCCTTAAAATACATACACTAACATCATTATATATGTCTGGAACGAGTGGGGCCTGTCAATCTTGAACCCCCAGGGCAACTAGGACATCGAATGAGACGGTGTATTAATAATGTGCTAGTATGGGTATTATCATCAGGTTGCAGTCGCTGCGGCGGTCAGCGTCTACAGATGCGAAATTTTCGACTGTTCAGGTGCTCAGCGCAAGGGTCTTTATTGGGCGACACGAAAAATAGCAGGTGGTAATTTAGAACCATCCATCCGCAGGTCATGAGCACTGAGCAAGGGGCCTAAAAAATTGCACATAAGAACAGAACGGATGCATGGGAGGTTTTTCAAGCTTGAATTTCCTGCCTAGAGCCCAGAGACTAGGGATGGGGCAGTTGATTTAGCGTATCTTTTCACTTCGACCCCCATTTTGTTTAATTAACTCAATGTCTCTCGGAAACGGGGAATCTGTTTCTCCTATCCCGCCCACACAACACCCGTTCAAGCCATCTAATGAAAGCTATCTACCTTTCCCGTAGGATCTTATCCTTCTGCGGCCAGTTGGAGATGTTGTATCTCCCTCTCTTCCTTGGGGTTTTTTTTTTTTTATATATAACCCCAAGGGCTTCAGTTCCATGACAGTTTGAAATTGGTTTCATGAATGTTTCTGGAACGGAATTTAAAGAATGAAGACCCTTTGGATGGTCTCAATTCCCCACCTTGATACCACTGCTCACTATTAGTTCTTTTCTCTTAGGACCTCTAGGGACGGGGAAAGCCAAATGGCACAGGCGAAGGGTATTTCTCACTGTCTAAGAATAACCTTGGAACAAGCCAGCCGGAGTCGAAGGAACAAGACAATTTCTGTCTGCCTCTCCCAACCCCAAAGGACAGCCAACATTAATAGTAATAACCTCCAGAGTCTCCCAACAATGATGGTTCCTCTGTTTTGGCGTCTTAATAATCATAGAATCGCCTCGGCCAAAGTTAACCCAAGTGTTTTTCCCGGTGTATTCCTATGTATTCCTCGTTGTATCCTAGGTACCAGGTATTTTATAACGGCGTTGAAATGGTTTTCCCGTACCCGTAGAGCGCTCCGCTGTTCCGTAACAACACGTATATTTCACGTAATTTTGGTATCCGTGGTAATGACCATACAAGTACCCAGCCAAAATTCTCCGTCTTAATAATACTACTCACTTGGCCTTTTGCCTCTGGGCCACTTTTTCTTTTTCGCTTTTCAGTTTCACTTTCTTCTCTGCATTCCAGAAAATCAAAACTTCCTCCTCCTCCTACTCCTCCTCCTCCTCCTCCCCAATGTTCCTTCTTCCCCTCTCTTCCTCCCGTCCTCTCTTATTTTCTTCTTCTTCTCCAACCTCCCCTCTTCTCATTACTCTCTTCTTTCTATCTCCCCCCATAGCCTCCCAACACCGTCCTCCCTCTACTCTGTTCTCTTGAACCTTTTCCTCCCGTCCACTCTAGCGAGCTTTTCACTAAGTCTCGTTGCCTATGTTGCACCCTTCGCCCAAATTTACCCCAACTTATCATCCTCTCTTCCTGATCTAAAAACCTCAAGTTCCGACCTAATGAACTTTTGATTTCAAATCATCCTTGAATTGCTACAACTATCGCGATTATACATTCAGCTGAGACTCACTCTTTTCTTGTCTATTACCACTGTGTGTTCTGAACGCCTCGCTCAAATCAGTCCGCCGCGACTCTTTCTTCGACCCTTGACAGTTCGTTCTGGTTACCGGGTCGACACACATCCAATGTAGCTTGTTCTAGACATTCCTTGTACCTCGTGAAGACGTTTGAAGAGCCCAGGGCTCGTCGCTTGTCGACGGACCCTCGCAGTTTGGAACGTGGTAGACCAGTTGGCGGTCAGTCTAAGCTTGACATCTTTTGATCCCTTTGGGAGGTTTTGAAGTGCCTAGTTCATAGGAATTACTAACATCAGTTTTCTCCAAGGACACAGCCTCCTCTCACTCGACTACCCTCACCCCGTTCCGAAAGGGCTTACTTTTGCCATCATGCCGTCCTTCTTCCCTTCTACCTCCATCTTCCCTCCCACTCCACCCCACATCGTCGGTAACCGCTTGGAAGCTGAGACGCCGTTTTATCAGCATAACAACCCTGCGTATAGCCTGAGATATCCTCAAACAGGCTATGATTTCATCGGAAAGTTCTCTCAGGCTGCCAACTTTTCGGATCATAGCTCCATGAACGCCCATTCGCAGCAGTTGCAAGGAGGTCGGGATATGGGTTCCGCTCAAACGATGGTAAATCACCAGGTCCAACAGCATACCATGTATGGCACCTTGAATCCTCCAATTTTGCCACCCATTCGTTCAAGCACGAAACTTCCACCGATGGATAGCGCGATTCCTCCTCAGTATCAACAGCAAGAGACAGGGATCCAACAGGACTCACAGCCTAAAGAGGAGAAGCCTACGGGAGGTGTCGCGGCCCACTTGGACTATGAAATGGATGAGATGTCTGATTTCGTGGCGGAAATGGCCCATGGAATGTATGCTTTGTATATCTCCAAGATTGTACTTGCAGATATTGACTTCGCTCGAAGCGTGTACCCAGGAACAGCAGTCCCTTCGCAATTCCGAAAATATGTCTCTCAAATTCTCTCCTCAACTCGGCTTCCTAGGTCCACCATTCTATTAGGCCTCTACTACTTGGCGTGTAGGATGCGAATACTTTCAGCGGCTGAAATGTACAAGTCTGGAAATTCTGAAATCTACCGCATGCTCACCACCGCTCTACTGCTTGGTAGCAAGTTTCTCGACGATAATACGTTTCAAAATCGCTCATGGGCTGAAGTTAGCAATATACCGGTAGCTGATTTGAATTCGATGGAGTTGGAATGGCTGTTTGGGTTTGAATGGAAGATCCATACCCGCATCCACAACAAACAAGAAGGTTTCAAGTCATGGAAAGCACATTGGGATACTTGGCGCGCAAAGAATGAAGCTAAAATCAACGAGTCACGAATTACACTGGCTCCTATTGACACAAACATCCAAAAGCAGCACGCTGCTCAACACAAAGCCCTTCTTTCCCCCGATGGGCCAATCCCCCCACAATATCAGAGAGGTAGCTGGCTAAGCTCCAGCACACCGGACTACTCGCCGCCCTCAGCACCTCATAGCGGTCCTAATACGCCTGACTATTACCGCCCCGGCCCATGGGCATACGCCAACCCGCCGCCACCATATTCCCGTGGCTGGGTTGTCCCACAGCAATACTTTACTCCAACTACTCGATCGCAACCGCCTTCATACCATCATACCCCATCCTACACACACGCATTTTCGCCAACTGGATGGACTGGTCATGGTTCGTCGTGTGGCTGTCTCTATTGTGCAAAACACCAAGGGCATTTTCTAAGCACAGTGGCTTTTGGTGTTCAGCCTGTTGCGGGTTAGCCTATGTTTTATCCATTGTCCCGGTTTGATTACCCTTCGGTTTATGATGGCGTATCATTCAATTGAACAATCATTGCCAATTCGTGTCCATCCGCCGCTCTACCTAGGTGTTCGAAATTTGCATTTCTCATCTCGTTTCCCACGACCATCTACCAGCGTTTCGATCGACCTGGTGTCTGCGAATGTTCTTCGCATCTTCGGATTTTCTTTAATGGTTCAACAATCATAATTGCGGAGTTCTTACCATCACGTACTCTGTTAATCCCCAAAAACTTTCAAGTGTCTTCCTTCGTTTTTCTCCCAGTCAACTCCGGAACAGAAAATAATTTCTTTTTTCCATTTTTTTTTTAAAAAAATAATATCGAGAGCAACGGTGGAAAAAGCAATGTGAGCAAGCGAGTATCTAAAGCGGGATCTATTTGATCTACTATATCCCATCTGCCGTTTCTTCGGTTCTCCGGCATTTTTCTTTATTATTCTCAAACCGAATTATTTTTTCAATCGAGGCTACTACCCAAAATCGCGTTTTCAGGTTCCCATTTGGACCACAGCGACCTTACGTCCTTTTCACAATTTTCCTTCATTAAATTTTGTGCTTTGCAGATGATTTTACGATTTTTTTTTCTGTGCTAATTTTATCCATTTCTTGTGTTTTGTTTAATGATATTTTCCCCCCCGATATGTCCATATTAGCCATTCTAGGGCAAATAATTTGGCAATTTTTGTTTCTTTTCCTTCCCCTCCTTGATTTTATATCTCTGTTTTTCATTCTACTTTTATCTTTTTCGTGATAGATCTTTTATTTTCTATTTTATAATTCTTTTCCCCTATGATTTGTACAAACTTTTATTTTTCATGTTCATTCTTTTTTACTTTGACCGTTTTTGCTTTTTTCGAACCGGAGTTTACTCTTTTCTTGCCCTATTTTCTGTTTCTATGAGGTGTTGTGTCACTGTTTAGCATTTGTCTCTTTTATTCGTTCTTTACTTTCTCACGCAAGATGGGTTCTCTTTCACGGCTTTATATTCTCATTTACCGACCTCTTTTATTCTTGCGATTTGCCCCAAACGGTCAACCTCAAATACCACATTTTATGTGTATTTGGCTCTTGAAGTGTGTTCGATTATCAGTCATGCCCCAATTAAAATTTCAAATGATACGCAAAGGATTGGACAGGGCCTTTCATAATTTGTGTGGCTGGCGTTGGTGTCAAGACTTTTGAGCATATCTCCGGTTTCGTTTTTCTCATCTGCAGTTGATTCATCTCTTCAGTCCTGTTACTTTTTTTCTAATATCTCTCCACCTTGCTGTTTCTGTTTCCCTTTTTTTTGCCTCTTTAAAACTTGTATTTCAAGCCCTGTAATAGGTTGTTACCTTTTCCTTCGCGTATTTTCTTACCTGGTTTATCGACGGTTTCTTTGATTGGTTCTTCTCCCTTTTTTCACCCCTCACTTCAACCACTTATTTGTTTTCTGAACATATGTTCCTTTTCCCCTGATTGCGAGTCCTGTCCTATTTTGTTTGACAAAGGAAGATATTGGAGGAAAAGATACCCTCTCTCATTCATGCATTGTTTTCTTTTTTCTTTTTTCTTCTTTTTTATATATACTTTTTATTTGCTGTCTTGGTGCACTTTGCACAATTATGTTCCCTGCTTCTTTACTTTAATGTTTTCCCTGGGCTTTGTGTTTTCACCATATCTTTCTCTTAATGAACCTATCACAGCCCTGTTGTCATGTTTACATTTGGCGAGGCTTTACCTTTTATGGAGGCAAAAATATGGAGAGAATTATTATCTCGCCCCCGCCCCCGCCCCCGCACCCCTCCCCTTCCAAAATATTAAAATAACTTAGAGATAGGAAAACCGGAGAAGTAATAAAGTGTTTAGAAGATTACAACATACTGGTTGAAATGAAAATGTTCTGTGTGTACATCTCCCTTGTGCCCTAGTCTTCTTGTGTTGAATGAATGCTGCACTTCTAGACATTGCTGTACTGCACCGCGTAATCATATCATATCCCTTTCCTACAAACTCGACATTCTCATTCAGTTGGCCCTTTTTGTGTTGTACCCGGCAGACGGCAGGAATCTCAACCCTGAAGCTCATGCACGTGAAGCTACTTAATTGTAGGACGTCTGAGCGGTTGTATTTGGCAGCGATATATTTTGGGGTGCTAGTGCTACTGTGTGTGAGACGTTAGTCCGTAATTCCAAGCCTTGGTGCCCAAGTGCGTGAAGGGGGGGGGGGGGGGGGGTTAAATTGCGCCATGATTGGGCTGAAGCCTGCCACAGGTCATTGTCATGAGCCCGCTCTGGAGAAACAGTCTGACTGAATTGAATAATTATGCAATATTATTTTTCTCGGCTTAGTTTCTAAAGGGGAGAGAGGATATGTCACTTGATGTGACAGTTATGCTTTCACTTATTAGCCGGGTGACATTGTGAATATGCACATGATGATGATGATGATGTCCATGACAGAGATGTGGAATAACAACATAGTTGTCACTCAGGACAAAAAAAAAAAAAATTTAAAGAAATAATGCCATATTTTATTCTATCTCCTATCGACATAGTTGGCCAATTCCGCCTGCCGAGAATCTTTACGGTGTCGTCATTGTCGTTCAGATCATTACATTCATACTCCCTCCTTCTTTCTCCTTCCTCGAGCATCTCTGGCATAACAAAAACATAGATAGACGTAGTTAGTGAGATAGCTGAATGGTGGCGCCGTGATGTCGTATCTCGTTTCGTTTGAGCACTTTTTCGGTGTGTTATTTGTCGTGTACTCTTGGTGTATAACTTCAAAACGGGTGCCAACCCTTGCTGTCAGATATAAAAGCAGTAAATGATTGGTAAGGAGGGGAGGTTGTTGGAAAAAGCCTTAAAATCGTCGATGGTGGACATTAAAATAGAATACACCAGAAGCATATATGTATGTAGCTTGCAAGGAGGGGGAAAGTTCCAACCGAGAGAAATCCAACAAAGTAAACCCAATATTTCAGAATCAGTGAGCTAGTATATGCTCCCTCTAATGCTCTGATCTTCTTTAATCGCTTCCTCAAAGACGGCATCTTTTTCCCCGCCCAAGGTATCGTTCATAGAATCCTTCGACATGCTATGACCGTTTTCGATACTGCTCTCATCAACCAATAGACCTTGTTTACCAGCAGCATGGTCGTCATCTTCGTCGTCTCGATCGCCCAGAGAATTCGCAATCCCATGGCCCTGCCTCTGCTTACTCTTTTGCCACTGATGCGGGTGTTGGCCATAACTCTGCCTTCTAGGAGCGGCGCGTTTGTAGTTCTCATCGTCATCAGCGAGGTTACCAGTTTCATCGCTGTCTGATGTGGCACGACTTGGTGAACCGCTATGGGAGCCACCGCCGTCCCGTCCGCCTTGTCGCGGAAGACCTCCTAGGCTACGGCTGTGTGGACCATGTCTATGTTGAAGGGATGTGGAAGAGGGCGGCTTTTGGACTGTGTTTTGTTCATCCTCTGAGCGTGACTGTTGTTGGGACTTCGATTCCGAAAGGTAATCCAAAGAAATGTGAGATGGGGTTGCATTTGGTGAGGATGAATATGTCAAACTGGGAGAGGAATAGTCTTGCCGTCCCTCGAGTGCCTTGTCAACGGATCTATCCGCGTTAGATGAGGTTTTGGCATTGGCCGCGTCAGTTTGAATCTCCTTTTTTACTTTATCGGCTGTTGCCTCACCCTCCAGCATCCCCTTTGTATACTGCCGTTGAGGTCTTCTCCTCCAGTACTTCGCCGATGAATGATTACATCCGTTAGGGCAGCCACCCCAATTCCTTCTGATTGGGATGGTGAACTCAGTGCCGGGGGTAGTACCAGTTTCAATGCATACACCAGCTATTGATGCATGCTCCCTCTCCCGCTCCCGCTCCCTTTCTTGTTTTAATTCGGACCAAGTGCGCAGGTTATTTTGGAGGGTGTACTTCCCATCATCCTCGTTCTTCTTCATGATCACGAATTCGCAGTGATTCACATTTCGAAGGTCCTCGAAGTATTCAACGCTGAAATGGTACCATTTCATTAAAAATATCCGCGTCATCAATCCATGAGTGACAAGAACGCACACGCTAGCGAAGTCATCCTCTCCAAACAGTCTCCAGAGGGATTCATTGAAACCGCTAACTCTGTCGTAAGCATCGGCCGCAGACTCTCCATTAGGGATACGGTAGAAGAAATGTCCGTAATCAGCACGCTCTTGCCACATGCGTTCCATTTCTGCAGAGCATGGCTGGAAGTTGCCAAAGTCTTGTTCGCGCAAGCGAGGCTCTTCGTACACCTTTATGGAGTCTCTTGGGAAGGGTGACGGCGACGGATCATTCGAAGTCAAAGACGTGAGGATGCCCTCAGTTGTCTCGCGGGTACGGCGGTAGGGGGATGTAAAGAAGTGGAGTGTATCATCTGGGCGCAGAAGGGTCCGTAACCGCCGCCCTGCCTCGAGAGCTTGTTTCTGTCCCTCTGGCGTGAGTTTCACCCTGTGATCGGGAATCGACTGGTGGATTTCACGGTTTTTGTTTCCTTCTGACTGGGCATGACGGATGAGAATTATCATCTTCGTACATATTGTCCCGTAGTTAGTACAACTTTTCTTGGTCGTAGTCGTAGTCCAGACAGAATGCGGAGGCTAAATCAGTATGATACGGAGAAACTCACACGAGGTTTTCCCATTTCTGTTGCACTAAAGTCGATTTTAGCTAGAAAAATGAACAAATGTTGGAATTGTGAAATTACTTGTCTATTATCACTATTTTTCTTTTGCTTCTCTTTTTGTTTAAGACATGTTTGTGTCTGATTCTTATTCTGTTGGTAAATAATCAATGTGCTTGATCTCTCTGGCAGGGAGCTAAATATTTAGCATAATTGAACTTAAGTTGTCGTAAACCAAGTTTAACCTGGAAGTTATTTATGCAACCGCCCAAGATCAAGATTGAGCCAATCGAAAACGCGGGATCCTTACCACCCTGGTTCCTCTTCCCTCCCCCCCCCCCCCCCCCCCCGGCGCCGCGACAATTCTGCCCAAGGACACAAGGGCACGCGGACTCCCTGTTTCAAAAATTGTGATCTGCTCTGCCCGAGCTGCCCATTCTGTTGATAAAATAGCCATGAAAGCTGGGATTTGAGGCAAACGCCCCAATCATGGCAGACCCATTATTCGAACTCCTGGCGCCGTACATTGATTCCGCTGACGTATCCTCATGGCCGCCGACCCCAACCCCAACCCCAGACACAGTGTCGTCACAGTACCTTAAATTCCTGTCAACACTATCGCTGTCCGCATTGACATCGACGGAACCCCAGTCTCTATCCCAGACTTCTCACTCCGTCCTCGTTTCGCTCCAAGCCCTCTCCAATCGCTCTCATAAGTCCCTTATTACGGCGGCTGATAATCTCTCCTCTCTTCGCTTTTTGATACCGCGGTTAGCTGCTGAGGCACGACGGCTCCAAGATGAGATTCCAAAATTGGATGATGAGGTCGTGCATTTCTCCTCCGTCTACAATAAGAATGTAGAGAACCCGATGCTACATGGAAGGAAGAAGGCGATGCAGTTGCTTAGGAATGTGGACCGACTCTCCGATATCTTGGAGTTGCCTACTCTGCTTTCTACGGCTGTGTCTTCCTCGTCCGTTAATGCTAGGGCCCCTGGAGGGCCTAGCATGAATTACTCTTCTGCTCTGGATCTCTTTGCGCACATAAAGCGACTACAGACTCTTTATCCCGATTCGACATTGGTTAAGGACATTGCGCGGCAAGCGGAAGAGGCGATGAAGGAGATGACCAGTAACCTTATAGCTGGACTTCGAGTTCAGAACATAAGACTTGCTGCAGCAATGAGAACTGTGGGTTGGCTTCGCCGTGTCGCTCCGGAGCTAGAGTGTCCCAGTAAAGGAGGAACCCCTTCCATGAACAGTGAGGGAACCTTTGGCGCATTGTTTCTGGTTTGTCGTCTAGCAAATCTAATATCGATGCTTGAAGCCCTTGAACCCCTGAGAGAGCTTGCAGACCAAGAAACACAGAGGAGGCTGCAGAACAATACAGAGCAAACAGCCGAATCTACAAACCACAATGCCTGGTCTGGAGGCCAGCAAACCGAGCGATTTTTGAAAAGATACATCGAAATCTACCGAGAGCAAAGTTTTGCAATAGTTGCTATGTACAAGAATATATTCACACCTACACCACCTGAATCTGACCTGGCCCCTGCAAGTGTGCCCGGTTTGGATCTACGCTCCCTGAGCCTCCAGACGAAACCGACACCGAAAACGCAGAAAACGCAGGATGATCCCCTTCCTCGTCTACCCCCTGCATTGGCAACCTTCCCCATGCATATCGCGCAACTGCTGACAGAAACACTGAAAGCCTATCTACCAAATGTCAAAGACAAAAGCTCGCGAGAATGTTTGCTTTCACAGGTTCTGTATTGCGCCGGTAGTTTGGGTCGATTGGGGGGGAATTTCAGCATGTTCTTATCACTCCTGGGTGAAGAGGATGACGAAGAGGAAGAAGATGATGTTGCAAAGGGCAACGTTGTCCCTGAGTGGGAAGGAGTTATGATGAAGCACCGTGTATTAGCAGAACGCCTGGATCGCATGACAGCGGGTGGAACCGACAACGGACTGAAGACAATATCTCCTTAATCTGATCCAGTACACAAAGTGCATTTCGAGTTTCCCGGTATTAAATTTATGGAGAACGTCGTGAGAGATGCTGCGCCTTAGACGAAGCTGTATTCCCCCGCCATCTTGTTGGTTACATTGCCCTCGACGAAGCTAGATAATACCAGAGCAATCATAACAGCAAATTATGGAAGCACATAGAGCTAACCAAACATCATCAATAGCCCAACTGTACTCTACCCTTTCAATCCACACTCTCCTTCTATTATCTTCAAATATCTATCTACAAGTCTATCTATAACTACATAGTTTATTACCTAACTAATGAATGGAGGCTCCAGCTAAAGAAGCCCACTAACCAGATACGGCTAACCGAAGGCGGTTGGAAAAAGCCAAGAACAGAGCTGCCCTTAACAGCCTAGCGTGGGTGCTTTGTCATCCGCTGTTGTTGCTCCAAGAAGATGAAGAAGACGAAGGGACTGCTATTGTTTCATTCAATTTCTTCATCTCACCCTGGATGTGATTTCTTTCTCTCTTTACCTTTATCTCGTCTCTATCTATCCCGCTCTAACTCTTCGTTGTTGTGAAACATCGATATTCTCATTTGCTTGGATGTCAATTTGCCCGGCTTCTCAGCTGTTCTCCTCTAGCACCAGGTCCGTTCCTTGCATCTGCCACAACGATCTCCCAACCTTGGAATTCTCCGTTCATGAGCCCCTCCACCAACTATCCGCCTCAACTGGCATACTCGTAGACCTTCCAACGCCTCTGACAGACCCCATTTCGCTATAGGATTCCACCCTTCAGCCTCGCATATGTTAACTTGTCGCGTACATTTTCTTGGCTATTCGGTCGTTAACATCTACCAATGGCTACTTTAGCCTCGTCCGCTGCGCCTCTACCAAATGGTGGCTTGGTTGACCCCACGAAGCAAGCAGAATATCCCATTCTCTTGGGAGACAAGTTGGCTCGAAGGGAAGAAGCTAGCGGCAATGGATTTATCAGCATCACATACAACCATAAGAGCAAGTCAGCTTCTCGACAGCAGCGTGCAACAATCACTGCAACGGACTCTTCTCGGCATCTTTACAAGCTCACACTGCAGGACAAAGGCCCCAATGCAGACCAGAACATTGTACACACATACCAAGGCAGCGTTGATCCCACTTCCCCACTTTCCGTGTCAGAGACTGGCAATTTGGTCTTGGTGTTTGACCCAAAGCGAAAAGCGTTTATTCTTGAACTTGTCATGACCAGGCTGAATTTCAACCTTCGATCTGCCCCTGGGAAATCTACCCAACAAGTTACAGAGCAATATCCGCAGCTTAATGTTCTCTCTGGAGAGGATCAGGTATCCGGCGATGATCAACTTCTGGAAAAACCGGGTGAAGATGATGCGGAAGGTGCTCCGGATGACAGCAATCCGTATGATTTTCGACACTTTCTTCCAAAATCTAAAGCCGACGACGATATACCTGAATCCATTACACCTGATCCACATCAAGTTACCGCGAGTCAACCAGCTTCTCGATTGGCACCACCACAGCCACCACCATTGTCCAGCGGGAAACCCAGGCCGAAGCCTGCTGCAAAAGCCAAACCTCAGACAAACCCTCTCCGACCGCTGAAACGCCTGCCGAAGTCAATAACTAATCCCAAAATGGCGACTATACCCAAACCTCAATCCGCTCCTCTTGTTGAGGAAGTGGGCTTGGTCCCTGATTCAGCGTCAGATGGAGCGTCAGACGGAGAAGAAGAAGAAACTACTACACAAAATGTGGTCGATAATACGGCATCACAGCCTGCTGCATCACCCGGAGCAAATATAATTGTTGACGGCGACCTGATTATTGATATGGGTTCTCCGCCCCCCGCACGACCGGTCTTCAAAATAAATCCTCGTCATTTCTCGTCGAACAATACCTCTGCCAATGAGGCAGACTACGATAGTGATGATGATGGGGAGATAGAAGATTTGAGATTGCCGTCTCCAGCTGGCGCCTCGTACCACGGACATGAAGATGACGAAGAGGAGGAAGACGATGAGGAAGAACAAGAAAGAGAAAGAGAAAGAGGAGAAACCAGGCAGGATGACGTTATAGATGATGATGATTTGGCTGCTGAGATGGAAGCTGCTTTTGAAGAGAGTGCAAGAGAAGAAGAACAGGAGAGGGCTCAGCAGCAGCTGCTGCTGCAACAGCAGATGCAACACCACATTGTTAGCGAGGATGAAAGCGAAGTAAGTGAAGAAGAGTAAGTATACGATATGAGGGACACATGCTTATGAGAATCGTCAAGCTCTCCTGAGCTAGAATTGACACTACCTTGCTGTTATCTTTCTTCGTTTTCAGGGGGGCAATGGAGGCAGGGCATTCGTTTGATCTGACTAGGGTTAATTATACCACATTCTCCCTCCTTCCATTTATTTGTATGATACGACAAACAAAATGATTACAATTTACGATTTTAATAAAAGAATAGAAACGATATTTAATTCTTATTCATTTGAAAATAATGCATTCAATTTCACCAGCACCCAACTTGCAGCGGAGCAACGTTGATCCGAACCGTAATTATCCTTCATCCAATTCCTAGCTTTCAACCTTCATCTTCCGCGTCTCGACACCAACTTATCACGCCAAACACTCTCGCAGAGCTCCATATCTCCTTGAATTCACAACTACGACACCTGACCGAGAACTTTTACGTTCTGCAATTATCCCTCATGACCTCTCCGGTTCATGTCCTCTTCAGGGGACTTGTGTGTTGAGGGAGCGTGAAATGACTTCACACCATTTAACCCTTCTTGTAACCCTTAGACAACACCTGCAGTTGGTCAGTGAGGTGAGCTAGCTGTCTTACCTTGCGAAGTTGCGCAATATCTATTGCTAGGTATATCACGACGTCTTGTCCTGCTCCCATTTCTGTTGAGCTCTGTTTCTTTGGTTATCAAACATGTCGGCCACGTCGTCTTCGAAGCGCATGTCCCTTCCGCCAGTACCCTCGCCTTCCAACCCGATCCTTGTCGCGACTCAGTCGCAGTGGATATTCACCGATTCAGAACTTCACCGAACACCCTCCATTCTCGACGGGATGACTATGGAAGCTGAACACACAAGCCGGAGTAAAGGGGTCAATTTCATCACCCAGGTCGGGATCCTTTTGAATCTTCCGCAGCTCACACTCTGCACCGCGAGCGTCTATCTCCACCGCTTTTTCATGCGATATAGCATGAAGGATCTTCCTCAACGGCCAGGAATGCATCCCTACTCCGTCGCTGCTACCTCTCTATTCCTCGCGACCAAAGTCGAAGAGAACTGCCGCAAGATGAAAGAGCTGATCGTAGCTTGTTGCCGCGTCGCGCAGAAGAAACCAAGTATGGTCGTGGATGAACAGTCGAAGGAATTTTGGAGATGGCGCGATACTATTTTACACAATGAAGATCTGCTGCTTGAAGCGTTGTGCTTTGATCTCCAACTTGAGCAACCTTATCGTCTCCTCTACGAGTTCATTTGCTATTTCAAGGTGCAAGGGAACAAGCGGCTAAGGAATTCTGCATGGGCTTTCTTGAATGATTCTACGTATACCGTACTATGCGTTCAATTTCCCGCGCGTACAATCGCTGCTGCAGCGCTCTACGCGGCAGCAAGACACTGCGAAGTTACATTCGAAGACGACGCCCTTAATAGACCTTGGTGGGAGCAATTGGACGTTGATCTCAATGAGATGAGAAGGGCATGCAACCGTATGGCAGATATTTATGAATTTGTTTCCGTTCCGGTGCCTGGACAGCAATATGCTCACCTCTCGACTGGGGACGATGGAGCAACCGACCAGACAAGAACATCCCATCAGCCGAAAAGTGAGAGCAGCATGGATATTAGCGCCAACAGCATGTCTCCTGGTGAGATTAACGGGCGCAAACGGGAAAGGGATGGCCATTCTGACTCATTTAGCCAATATCCAATCAGCCTTCCTGCAAACGGAACAACGTCGGGGACACAGGATCCTCAACCTTCTCCGAAGCGCCAACGTCGTGAAGGGAGTGAAGTTGATACCGATACAGCTCCTTTCAGCCAGACACAACCTCCTCTATCATCACAAACTTCATTCGCTCAGGCTGCTTCAAACCTGAATATCGCCTCAAAGAAATCTTCGCGAACTGCCACCAATGATCCCTCCAGCCAGATACCTTCAGAGATTAATGGACATCCCAGCAATGTCTCTCCTCCCAAAAGTAGAATCCCCCAGGCAGCTCGAATTCCTGCCAACGTACCACGACAAGAACACCCACTTCCGCCACCCCCACCCGTTACCGTACCCCCTCTTCCTCACCAACATTCCCCACCCCCTCGTCGTGCAAGTTATGCGAGCAATCCACCACCACCTAATATACCACCACCCCCAAGAGGCCTGCCGCCGTCATCGGGGCCATCAATGTTCCATCCACCACCACCACCACCTCCTCCTCCTCCCCCTCCGCCATCTAATTCTTCTAGCGTTGATGAATTACAGCAACGCATTGATGCCATCATCCAGCAAGGTTTGCCACGGGACAATGACCGATCTCACGAACCTAGAGGGAACTATCACTGCCATCCACCGTCAAGAGATAGGGATGGAGACAGAGAAAGAGACAGAGATAGATATCTGGACAGTGATATCGATAGGAGTCAGGAGAGGGATAGATATAGGGAGAGAGGGATTGACAAGGATAGAGAAAAAGATAAAGACAAAGGGCGCGATTATGACCGCGACTTTAACCGTTCCAGAAGGCAGTCGTCAGAGGCATCAGGTTCTGTAGCCATCTCTGCATCTCTATCCGCGCCATCTTTCTCCGGAGCACCACCAGCAACCGTACTGCCGCCTCCTCCAGCCCCCTTGGCTGACACACGTAAGGAGTCAGGACAGGATCAACAAGAGAAAGGCGAGGCAGTGAATGCGAATACTACGACGAATACCACTGTGTCACGGGGAAGCGGAAACAATAGTGCTGAACCTGATGATTGTGGTAGTGAGGAGGGTGAGGTTTGAGCAAGGGCCTCTTCATTCTCCCCTTTATCACTCACCCCCTTATCCAGAGCAATTGGTGGTGGATGATGGGCAAAATGTGGATTCTGTCAAACGCCCCTTTCGCGACAAAGGCACCTTACGGTTCTACGCTGATATTTGACGAAGCACAATATCATCTTCCTCATCGCCATTGCCATTGTAACCCGTCGCCCATAGTGGGCGATTTTATAAGAAACCAGAACCACGTCCGCAATTGAAACAACAAGATAATCGAGATAAGGGTTTCTTCAAGTCCGATTTCAGTTTGCTGTATATCCTCTTCAACAGGAGAGGCCCATCTATTTACTGAAATTGCAAGTCTGCAATTTTGCATCATTGAATTACATGTATTCTCACGTGCGACTTGGGATGCCAAATACCACCAGAAGGCCCCCCATCCAAAAACAACAAGAAAAGAAAAGAAATTGCGACATTATTTCCAAGAATAGATTAGGAGGTGCGAAGATTCACGTCAGGAAACAACAGGTAGAGAGAATGGAAATGGCAACGCCGGCATGAGCATATTTTGGAAACTCAAATCATGAATGTCTCACGATCAATTTCAGTTTTCCATTTTTGTTCAGCTCCAATATGGGCTTTGCCTCAGGCCTGTAGAGCAAGAGGAGAAGAAATCTTCTCACTGACAAGGTTTTGACATGCACAAATGGTATCAGTTGTCCGGTAGATGGTAGGTTTTACAAATGATAAGGGTTGAGCAGATCTGAATATGCAATCATATTTGAAACTTTGACATTAAATTTGAAACAATTGAAAGTTTCTGTTATTTACCAAAAATAAAGTTAAAAGCGAAATTAAAGTAGCTTTTTATGGAACTGAAGAAGCGGCCCAAGGTGGAAATCTATAATGTAATGTAATAATCCATTCTCAAATGACCTCTTGACCATCTAATGACCAAAATCTTGCATTCATATATTTTCAATGAGATCTCAACAATACCTTGATAATTATATAACTATTGAATATTGAAATTACATAATAATTTATATAATTATATATAATTAGCTTCTATAATAATTGCTTAATAAGCTAATTGAAATAACTAGTTAACTATTAAAATAAATTTGTATGTAAAAAAACTTAGAGAATTTAATTCTTCTAAAACAGCTATGTAAAAATCTAATTATCATTTCAAATAGATTTTATAGAGTTTTAAAATAGTTTTTAATTTTAATATAATTTTTTAAAGCTATTTTTTATAGTTGTATCTAAATTTGTATTTATATTTATATCTATTTTATAAATTTTACTTTTAAACATACTTTAAATTTTATATTGATTTTTTTATTTTATTATAGGTTTACTTAATATTGCTTGAATTATTTTTATTATTTTTATAATATTAGTTATATAACTTATATATATATTTATATTATAATTTTTATTTTAAATTTTTTAATATAAATACAGAAAATAATTTTTTTATATATAAATAACTTTTTTTATTTTAAATTTTATTAGTTTAATAAACTAAAATAATATAATAAAAAGTTTATTAAAGAAACATCTATTTTGATTAAAACTATATTTTGTCTATTCTTCTCTTTAATATTAATTTATTTATTTTAATTATTTAAAAGTTAATAATAAAATATAATACTTTTTTAATCTATATTTAAAGTAAAAAAAAAAACTTGATTAATTTATAATATAAAAAATTAATATTTATAAAAAAATTTCTAATTAATAACTAGATTTAAAACTTCTATATCTTTCAATTACTCAAAATTCTTTTAGTAATAAATAATACATCAAAAATATAAAAAAGAAAATTTCAACTACTCTTCTTATAACAGTTTCTAGATAGATAAAATTGAAATTGCTTTATAGTTTAACTATCATGATCACAAGATCTAGTTAAAGATATCTCCTTGGCACTGCTATCTTCTATGTCTTAGAAAACTATCTCTCTACAGCACGAACTGCCACTACTCCGATAAGAATATTCATATTACTCTCTGATGATGAGGTGACCATCTTTCCTTTGTAAGAGATGATTATCTTGCTTTGTGTGAAATGACATGACTATCATATGAATGATGGGATAATCATCTCTATGAAAGACATTGCCACTTCCTTGATCAGATAGAGTGGTATCTGAGTGTATTCATGAAGAAGGGAAGGCTGATGAGAACCATATAAAGCTAGCTATCCGACCCACTGTTCAGAGGGGCAGTGATTCATTCTTAATATATCAGATTCATTGAAGATGAGCCGCCTAGCGCAAGGGTTGCCAGCGCGATCCAAGGTAGGTACCGTTCGTTCGGCGAGAGAGAATCTTCTGGGTGCAACCTTTCTCAAAGGCTCAACCGCCGCAGACCCCAAACTCTGTGGGGAAGTCTCGAGCGAGAATCCCTCCCAGAGTGCTCATCGATCGCCATCTTAGCATACCGCCTCTCCTCTCTCCGATAGCAATTCCACGATAGAGGAGTCCAAACCGAGAACCCATGTCAACCTCCTGGGTTGGTGGCAGCCGGGGTAAGTCGGTCGAGCGTCTTCCTTCCCTTGTCTCTGCAGCTCAGCTGCTGACAGCTTCCAACAGAACAACCGATCCTCGTGGATTCGGAGAGCAATGGAGAGGATACACTGAACGATACAAATCCTAGGTTATTGGACCTGCTGCGCGCACGGGTGCCTTGGGCGGCCGCGGAGGGTTTGCGTGCGACACGACGTCCGGCAATCCTGGAAAGTATGACGAAGGAGAGCACCGACTGACGAGGCGGCAACGCGTGCGACACATGGGTGTTCGAGTTGAGATCCCCTCCACACTGGACGCCTTTCAAGAGTCTGAGAGGCGAGGCGATAACAATGATCCCGGCGGTGACAGAGACTTAAATAACTCCAGCGACTGCAGCGACGACGATGATCATGTCACTAGGCAGTTGCGGAAGCGGCGGAAACTCTCAGCACAGTCCTCCTCCATGTCCACTGTATCTTCCACAGCTTGCACAGAAATCCTTCTTCGACTATGGTGATAAATGACAGGAAGCCACGGGATCCGATGAAGTACTGCAAAATCTGACCGGTGATTCCCACGGTGTACCAGCTGTCCCACAAGATAATACGGTGACGAGCCGCTCAAGTGATGATATACCAGTCTCCGGCTTTCTTTCAAGCTACCTGAGCAGGTCCAGGGTGTGTTACACTATGACATTCTATCACGAAAAGGCTGTTCGGCCCCTATCGGCAAAGGCAAACGGTTCGTCCAGTCCCCATCGCAACCTGTATACGTGTGCCCTTCGGAGGGTAACGCGCTGCTGAAGAAACTCAAGCAGGGCGGTGTGCCATGGGATGAGATCGCCAAGCGCCCCTGGACATATCCAAGCCGACTCTCCAGGTGCGGTATTCCACCAAGCTGAAGGACCGTACTCGGTCAACGTGTAGGTCTAAGCCTAGAAAACGTGGATACCACTGAGGCAAATTACCAACAGTGGCTGCAGGCATTCAGCGGACAGCTATCAGCAGGGGTCCTGGAAGGAGAACTGGGTCCCCAGGCCAGAACACTGTAGATGGTGTTTAGGGGAGGGAAGGGGGATGTTGGGTTAGTACATTGCTACTGCTATGCACATCCAGGGAAACGTCCAAAAATCAATGGTAGAAGCCAACGAATCGTTATGTATGTATATGTCCATATAATCATGTACCCCCTTGGCTCCGTCTCTTTTAAGCAACCTGTCTTAGGTCCGGGTTTGAAGGAGGGATTTTGCGGGAAAAGGTCACTATATCTTTCTACTTTTTCTTCTCTTTTTTTCCTTCTATTTTTGGGCTTCTCTATTTTAATATTGACCAATCGGGGACATAATATTTAGATCCCATTTCATTGCTGCAAATGTACTGCTTATACAGCCATGCGCAGGTTGGTGTTAGGAGAAGCCCCCGCCCAAACGCCTCCTAGCTTAGCAAAGTATTTCATACTTATCGTTCTGGAGATAGCCCAGAAGTGTCGACAAGTAAGACCAAAGCGTATTATCATGAACATCGAGGACGCCACAAATTGTGTGGTAAATTTCGATTGGAAGGGTATTAAATTGCGCAAGGATCCCCTGAGAAAGCCCAGGAAGCGCATAAGAGAAGAGTGGAGGAATGCGCCTGGGAAAAGAAAAACAACCCAAGCAGCAGAGTCATTGAGAATCAACTCTTCAAGCCTTTCTCTCCAAGAAGTGTGAAAACTTTCATTCAGCCCAGTTGCAGCAAGTTGGAAATCCCGCTCTTACGCAGGACAGCAAAAGTATTGCTGTTAGTCGCGGACAAACAGGTTAACTATATCAACTTGGCCGAAATACCTGTCCTCCTCCACTGTCAGCAGGATATAACACATGTACCTCTTCAAGACATCTAGAATGTTTATGAGAATATTGACAAAAAGCAATATTGAGGTAATCTTTTTTGGTTGTTGTATTAAGCAATAAATCTTACCTCTTTAAGAAATAAGGGTATTGCGCCTCTAGGAGTGCATGCACTTTGTATGACGCGAAATTTTAGTCGAGGGTGGATGAGAGGGGGCGCAAAGAAAATTCATTCTGAACATCCGATAATGCGCCAAGGAAAAGGGCCAGTTATGTCCACCTCAGTGGGTCTTATGTGAACATAGACATTGTCCGGCGTTTTGTGATGACATTTGTGATTGGACCAAGCAGTATGAAGAAGAAACAGATACTGAGAGATTATGCGCTGGATTGCAACTTGAAGTACGCAGTAGTTTAGCCTGGAATATGACGTTAATAATATGATTGAACACGTCCAGAAAGCCCCGCGGGGTGACCCAGGCTCCTGCATGGGCCATCACAAAACAATCCATGCATTTCTAAATCCATTGGCCAAAGGAAATGGTCAGATACCATGTCAGCGCAGGGATGACAGTGATGTCGATTCGCTCGGAGTGCTGCATGGATGTTGTCAAAGCGCCGGGCTCGAGCATCGTGCTGAAAAGTCTGGCAACTCAAAGAGGATGTTAAAGATGGCGGGGTAAGCACAGTTCTTCGAGCATCGGCTGGTCCGATAAAGCACTGTGAGCTCCCACAGCAGGAGACGTTTTGCCTTCCAAAGTCATACTCTGAGGGTGCCGAAGCGATCATGGAAAACAACTCGCAGAGACTCCTGGACTATCTGGGGGAGGCGCCTCCGGGATTTCCTACCAATTCAACAACCAAAACACCTAACACGACAAACGACCAATATAGTTGGAGGCAGATCAACAGCGTTGGTCAATGGTCCGAATTTATCTACGTCCGTATTATCCAGCGTTACGGCACCTTACTTCACCAAGTGCGAGTTGTGAGAGAACCAATCCCATACTCTCCTCCACAGCCTATAAACACCGAGCTGATGTTCGCTGTCCGTTTCGCTTCCTATGTTCAAGGTCGATTACGCCATGCGCTGCGAGCTGGTTTGCAGAACCCTGCACCTCAACTTGCCAATATGAATCTTACTCCCATCACAGTTGACACAGGCGATGCATCCCAGATTACCAACAGGTTGCGACCCGATATCTCTTTTTTCCGGGCGGGCAGTACACCCAGCTCGTCCCCAAACCGCTGCCCAGGATGCCTGAAGGTGTCACGGAAATGGAGATCTGACTGGGGCAAAGCATCGTCGCATTCAGACCGCACGGAGTATTTGCAGGTTCTGTCACAGGTCAACTTTTACATGAAACAGCTCAACACGCGTTATGGCTTTGTCCTAACTGACGCTGAATTGGTCCCTATTAAGAGACTTGATGATGACGGCAGCCTGTTGGTAGCACAGGCAATACCATGGGAAACAGAAGGGCCTGGACGTTTGACCATTCTTCTGGGGCTTTGGTATCTCGGGATGTTGGTGGCGGCAGATAATGAATGGCAATTTTCATAGAACACAGCTGGGGCTGTGTACTGTGCGAGATGTTGAGGTGTGAAAAGAAATGCTTGAAATTATGGAGCTCCTTTATCTCTTTCTTTCTTTCTCTCTTTCTTTCTCTCTCTCTCTCTCTCTCTCTCCCTCTCTCCCTCTCTCTCTCTCTCTCTCCCTCTCTCCCTCTCTCTCTCCCTCTCTCCCTCTCTCCCTCCCTCCCTCTCTCTCTCTCTCTCTCTCTCTCTCTCCTTTTGCAAGCCTGTATGAGCGCATTGACGAACCGCCATCCTAGTAGTACTTTGTGTTCGCTGGGAGACCCTGTTTCTGATCATCTGCCTGTAAAATCCGTTAGTGGTCAGAAAATAAGCAGCGGAAAAGTTGTTTTGAGTCACCAACAAGCTTCACCCCGATGCTCTCAACGCGCCTAGTTTCAATCTCAAGCCAGGCACGTTCCCTGTCTCTGATGTAGGTGCTGTCAGGATAAGTTATCGCAACATCAAAATCTATCCACATAACCCTTTCTGGGTCACCAGGAACGATCAGAATATTCTTGGGATAAGGGTCATTGTGCTCAATCAAAGCTGAATGAATCTGTTCGATGCCATTGACTGCCTTGGCCATTCGCTCTTTGCTGTAAGTGATGCAGTTCATTAACAAGGGGTTCGGCAGGTATTCCATCAGAATAGCACTTGGGAGGCCAGTGTCGCGCTGAAAGGCATCCAGATGAGGGGCATGTGCAGCCAAGTTCAAGGATAATGCGTATCCATAGAACTGGGGCACATAGCCCTGATCGCATATACCAGATTTTTTGAGAGTGCAGTAGGCCCGGATTTCGCAGCGAGCACGATTCAAGTCACGAACCCCGTCATCGGCATACCCTACGTCTTCATCGTTGTGGAACTGGACGTCAGAAACAGGGTAAGCTTGGAATGCGGCGACGGTCCAAGACACATACATACAACTTTCAGAACAAGGGGCTTGCCATCATAGTTCACATGGAATATCGATGACGCCTCGGATCTTTTCAGCTCTTTGATGAACCTGATCTTTGTGGGGTCGATCTCAATTCTCAAATTGGCGTCGAAACCCTTCTCCTTCTCGTAAATTGTACCCTCTGGGCCACGTAGCAGACCAGTGTGTCTGGGCATGAGGGTGGGTCAGAAACAAAGATAGCCAAACCGCCGAACTAGGTTGGTGCGCACCAGTTTCCTAGGTGTTTCCAAAGCGTAAGCGTAATAAACTACCCCGTAACCTCCTCGATAGAAAAAGATGAGATGTTTGAACTCGAAGCGTCTTGTCACTGGCTTGTGAGTTATAGCCCCACCCGGAATTAGGTTGTTCCCTCCTCTGCGCCAAGATGCCAGCTCATGAGAAAACCTCGACGTGGAAACGCCGCGCGGCTGGCGGCAGAGTAGCCGCGGAACTTCGAGTCAATCACAACAGCTACGCAGCACTCCCCAAGTTGCCCATTTTTGATGCAACTTGCCATGTTCGAGGCCACGCTTTTCATCCATTCAACCCACAACAACTGTCGGAAATCCCGAGAACTATCCGTAGCCCTGCATTTTCAATCCCCTGTTCTATGCTAATCCATTTCTCTCTCTCCCTGGAACTTTAATACGTCCTCATCTGCATTGCTGCCTAACTATTTGGTGACTGCAGGGTTGGGTCCCTAAGCCTAGAAATGTGTGACGTAAATTTACTCAAAATCCCACTGAATGGAATCCCGCAGCCAAGAGCTTCTAGCATTCATCTGGCTGGTCTGCCAACACAACCTCGAACAACCAACCGGGAGGGGCGGCCTCATTAAACAAACACCCTGTCCGGACAGACCTTCCACCAAACACTACCTCTTCCCTGCCCCCCCCCCCCCCCCCCCAAAAAAAAAAAAAAAAAAAAAAAAATTATGCGGAAAAACCTGTTCATTTGGAAGAGTTCCTGTACGGTTCCGTGGTCGTAAGCTTCTATTGGCCGGCCCCCATCACACCTTCGGGCGTCTTTCGTTAGGATGGTCTCACGACAAATTTCGGCACCCAACTCTTGCCCCTTTAGAAGAGACTGAGAAAACAGAGTGGATGAAAAAATTCCTTTTTTTTTTTTTTTTTTTTGAAAGGACTTATAACTATTGTCACTCCTACTGCCATCTCCTCCGTAGATTCGGAGAAAGAGCCATGTAATAGAGAGAAGCAGACAGCAGCAGCAGAAAAGATTTACCGCCCCTCCCCTATACAACTACTAAAGCCCAGATGGATGCCAACCAACCTGTCATATTTTCCTTTTATTCCCCCGAAATTGAGGCTGCCAGAGAAAAGGCTTGGAACGAGAGCAAGCCTGTTGCTGACACTCTTCCAAAGCCTGAGAGCAGTGTAATCGCACCCTTTCTGCCAACTGAACTTTGCGACGACCTAATAGATGTTGTAATTAAGGAGTACCCAAAAGTGGTGAGTTACGTTTGTTTATAAATGACAACCCACTGGCTCACATTGTTTCAGTTTCGGATGATATCTTCCAAAGCCTACATACCAAAATCTGTATCAAAGTGTAGAAGGGGAGGACTTGTGTATTTTCCAGGGAAGCCAGATATTGGAATGTTTTACACAATTGTAATACCTCTTCATGTGTCTGGGATGGTAAAAATTGGAGATGAAGTCATAGATACAAACCGTATCTATAATGTTTTAAGCAGCTGTTTTGTTGAGGTGCCTGATGGCGGCAAGTTTGCAGCATTGATTATGGATAAGATTGAATGAGCTGGTGAATTGCAAACTGCCAACTTACATTATATGAATTGTATTAAGTGTGGAAAAATTGCCTTGTATTTAACAACAAGACACAAACTTGGATCACACTGTAGTGTTTTGAGGGATAGACGCCGTTTCCACTGCCAAAGCCTGAACTGAGTGGTATATCACCCTGAGGAAATGCCGCATTTTCGTGATTTGCAATGCCAAAGCTGTTAACACCTAAGAACGAGGTCCCCTGTGTCGCATTATTCTCACCAAAGGCATAACTGAATGAGTTTTGGACGGATAGGGGCGGGTGTAGCTAGCATAACTCGCCCTGAATCTGCACATTTCTGCCCGTAGGGTGACACCCCCTACTCTCTCTGGCTCCACTATACCAGAGTTTTTAGAAGAAGAGGCCCTCTCCTTTCGGGAAGCTCAATATGGAGGTGCAGCTGGGATGTATCAAGCCGATAAAGATTAACATTACTGACAGAGAAGAGGGGCATGTGCGGAATTAGGGATCTCTGGAATATCAAAAGACAATTTCTTAGGCTGAATGTATGAAGTTCAAAGGAAAAACAAGGCAACGAGACTGGCGGCATCAAACAGGAAAAAATATGATGTGGCATTTACTCACATAACTCTGCTCGCTTAGATTGTTGTCATTTTGTGATGGGATCAACCAAGGTTTAACTAACTAGTTAGTTACCGCCGCCGCTTATTAACTAACTACCTCTTAGTAGCAACCGCACACCGCAACGGAGAGCATCGAAACGCAGGGCAGCCATCTCATCTCATCTAGCTCAAGGGGAAGAATAGCGAGCTCTGGATTCAAGATTTGGCACCGTTCCACATTTCACGACAAATCCGGTTGAGGATGCTGGGCATCTCACAACCTCCTGCTCCTTTCGTTCTCTCACACAGTTCAAGAGAATGCGGGCGAGCTACTGCTGGAAAAGGTCAACATTTTTGACCTTCTTCAAGCAGTGAGTGACTCCCATTGTTCTAGAAGTTATCAGAGAGCTTATTTCTTTTAGATTGTTGAAGTGCTGGTAGCGAACCAAGCAGAACTGCCTTGTGAGATTATCAGTTCATTAACTGAAGCCTTTGGAAATTCGAATATGGGAAAACTTGGACTCTGATACGAGAAGATCCGCTAAAATGCATTGAAGAGGATCCAAGGAATAAAAGCTGGGGGATATTTGAACCTCCTGAGTGGCGTCTCATTGGCAGTTTCCGCCTGCAAAGGGAATGGAGATGCTCTCTGGGCGCATGGGCTTGAGGTACGGTTAAGAGGATGTGGGAACATTTTACGCGTGGGCCTGGCCGACGCCATTTACCATGCATTTTACTCTACCGCAGCCTACGAACTTATCTGCCAACTCATTGGAGCTAGCTCTATGAGAGAAGTTCCTCTACGGAACCTCTGGTGAATCACGGTGCAGTTCTTATCTTGTATAAAGACTGTGATCCAGAGAAAAAGGCGGAAGCAGATCTAAACAATGAATATAGAAGAGGTGATGTATATTCATGCTTCGCAAGGAAACTGTTGGGATGTGGTTGCTATTTTCTAATGTTTTGCGGTTCCTCCATCCCTGAAAGTTGTGCTGCAACCGCAGGGAAGAGTGCTACGACTGATGTATAAGATATGGGAAATACCTGAATAAAATTTCGCATGTCGAACTGGTCGCGTCCAGAAACGATGGAACGAGGGGAGGGGGAGGGGGGAA